ACTGTATGAGTGAGTGGGTGGCTGGGTGGGTGGCTGGCTGGCTGAGTGGGTGGGTGGCTGGTGTGGGTGGGTGGCTGGCTGAGTGGTGGCTGACTGGCTGAGTGGGTGGGTGGATGGCTGAGTGGGTGACTGTCTGAGTGAGTGGGTGGCTGGCTGAGTGGGTGGGTGGCTGGTGAGTGGGTGATGGCTGAGTGGGTGGGGGCTGGGTGGGTGGCTGGCTGGCGAGTGAGTGGCTGGCTGGCTGAGTGAGTGGCTGATGGCTGAGTGGGTGACTGAGTGAGTGGGTGGCGGCTGAGTGGTGGGGTGGCTGGCTGAGTGGGTGACTGGCTGAGTGGGTGGGTGGATGGCGAGGGGTGGACTGGCTGAGTGGGGGTGGTGGGGAGTGGGGTGGGTGGCTGGCTGAGTGGGTGACTGGCTGAGTGGGTGGCTGGACTGAGTGGGTGGCGGGCTGAGTGGGTGGGTGCCTGGCTGAGTGGGTGGGTGGCTGGCTGAGTGGGTGGGTGGCTGGCTGAGTGGGTGGGTGACTGGCTGAGTGGGTGGCTGGCGGACTGAGTGAGTGGGTGGCTGGCTGGCTGAGTGAGTGGCTGGATGAGTGGGTGACTGGCTGAGTGGGTGGGGTGGCTGGCTGAGTGAGTGGCTGACTGGCTGAGTGGGTGACTGGCTGAGTGGGTGGGTGACTGAGTGGGTGGCTGGCTGAGTGGGTGGCTGGCTGAGTGAGTGTGGCTGGCTGAGTGTGGGTGGGTGAGGGTTGGTCCTGCACCGTAGACAAAAGGTTGAGGCGATGCCCGACGCGTCGCGTGGCTCCCTACTTAAGAGTTTTTTTTTTTGACAGAAGTCTGGGCTGGGCTGGCTATGATTGGCTGTGCGGGCGGGCTGGGCTGGGTTGGTCTGGGCTGGCTGGGTTGGCCTGGGCTGGGCTGGCCATAGACTTATACAGAACCACAGACTTAACATTCAGTCGATATCCATAGACTCGCACACAGACCCATAGACACTCGCACACACAGGGACCCATAGACTCCTTTCAGCGACAACTGCTGCCAGCTCATGTGGGGTGAGTATGAAGCCGAGCTCTCTTTATCTCGTCCGGCCACCGATGTGGATGTCAGAGCCACCACCAACACCCGGGCCGGGAGTCGAACCTCGCCCATCGTGTCTGACGTTCGCAGCCCCACCACACAGCGCCGATTGCCAGCGGGAAGGGGGAAACCAACAACAACACACCCATGGTGTTCGTAAGTGGGGGGGTAAGGGGGGTGGTGGGTCGTTAAGTGGGGGTAGAGGGGGGGTGGGGGTGAAGTGGGGGGTAGGGGGGGGTGGTGTTCGTAAGTTGGGGTATGCGGGGGGTGTGCGTGTTGTAAGTGGGGGTTAGGAGGGGGGGTGTGTCGTAAGTGGGGGTATGAGGGGGGGGGGTGTAAGTGGGGGTATGCGGGAGGGGTGTGGTCGTGTAAGGGGGGTATGCGGGGGGCGGGGGGGGGTGGTAAGTGGGGGTATGCGGGGGTGGGTGTTCGTAAGGGGGGTAGGGGGGGGGGTGTTCATAAGTGGGGGCTATGCGGGGGTGTTCGAAGTGGGTATGCGGGGGTGTTCAGTAAGTGGGGGAATGCGGGGGGGGGGGTGGTGTTCGTAAGTTGGGGTATGCGGGGGGTGGTGTTCGTAAGTGGGGGTATGCGGGGGTGGTGTTCGTAAGTGGGGGTATGCGGGGGGGGGTGTTCATAAGTGGGGAATGCGGGGGGGGGGTGTTCGTAAGTGGGGGTATGCGGGGGGTGGTGTTCGTAAGCGGGGGGGTGGTGTTCGTAAGTGGGGGTATGCGGGGGTGGTGTTCGTAAGTGGGGGTATGCGGGGGGTGCTGTTCGTAAGCGGGGGGGTGGTGTTCATAAGTGGGGGTATGCGGGGGGTTTGTTCGTAAGTGGGGGACCGCCTAGCCCGTCAGTACCGCTACTCTGCCGCGCGGTGGCGCCGCTTCTCACCCAGCGGCCACCGCCAGCGCCACGACCTCATCTGGAAGCAACTCACGGGACGAGCAGCAGAGAGAGACAGAGAGAGAGAGACAGAGAGAGTGGGGGGGGGGGTACAGACACCTAGCCTCGCATCGGGGGGGGGGGGGTGAGTGGGGGAGGTACAGACACCTAGCCTGGCACCGGGGGGTGATTGGGGGGGGGTACAGACACCTAGCCTGGCACCGTGGTGGTGATGATTTAACAAGCAGAGAGAGACACAGAGAGAGAGGGGGGTGAGTGGGGGTGGGTACAGACACCTAGCCTGGCACCGGGGGGGGGGGGGTGAGTGGGGGAGGTACAGACACCTAGCCTGGCACCGGAGGGTGATTGGGGGGGGTACAGACACCTAGCCTGGCACCGCTGGTGATGATTACCTCCCGTGGCCACCAGTCCCTTCGCACTCACAACTGACTCCCCTGTTATTATTCGTAAGTGGGGGTGCGGGGGGGTGGTGTTCGTAAGTGGGTGTAAGCGGGGGGGGGGGGTGTTCGTAAGTGGGGGTATGCGGGGGGGTGGTGTTCGTAAGTGGGGGTATGCGGGGGGGGGGGTGTTCGTAAGTGGGGGTATGCGGGGGGGGGGGTGTTCGTAAGCGGGGAGTGTTCGTAATCACGGACACACACACGTACACACGCGTATACACACACGCGTACACACGCGTATATGTAGGGGTGACACGCGCTGGAAAATGGGATCGTGTGTGCTACCCGTCAAGTGGTCTCCCGCCGTAATTTACAATATTACATACACACACACAGTGTACACGTGTGTACACACACACACAGTGTACACGTGTGTACACACTGTCCATGTGTGTGTGTACACACACAATAATGTCCACATTGTTGAGCTGAGCTCACACACCCAAGGGGTCTCTGTTCAAGGGAGGGAGCAATGGAAAATGAATCTTAATCAACTTAAACTCCAACTCCGCTCTGTGACGTCACCGCTCAGCATGACCTCATCGGCGTGAAACGCCAGGGGGAGGTGTACCTTGCTAGTGACGTCATGTCACCAAAGTATTCACCCCAACCGGTCTCAAGGGAGCGTGACGTCACCTCTGCCTGGGTCACTTCCGTTATCTGTTCAAGCACTATCCTTATTTGGGCAAAGCCACGCCAACTGACTGGCGGTTCATTAACATAATTTATTCGTGAAAGACGTCACGAGTTCGTTGTGACCGGTTCGGCACCCACGGCCCATCCCTCCACAAGTGGGCCAGGCTCATTAACATAATTTATGTAAGTTACAGAGCCGCTCAAGTGACGTCATGTCACCTGCTGCTGACGCGTGACGTCACGAGGTAACGGAATGTTGCCGCTCCGCGCGGGAACTGAAATCTGAGGTGAGAAATTCTCATCGCGGTTGTGGTGGTTGTTGTTGTTGTGGTTGTTGTTGTGGTTGTTGTGGTGGTTGTTGTTGTGGTTGTTGTTGTTGTTTACCGAGGTAGAGCCTCGCTCTCTCTCTCGTAGGGATGTCAATTGAGTAGCAGCGAGCATGGAAGCGATGTCCAGATTTAAACTTTACAACGCGGGGCCTAGTGCCTCCTGCCCTCGCCTGGTCGCGTTCGCTTCAATTCTCTCGCTTCGTTGAGCAATTTCGATGTAAAGCTTCTTTCGTGACTGCAGTGATTCATCTTCTTGGTTCTTTCGGTAAAGTCACGTAGAATAGAAATAAAAAAATAAAACAATAAAACTGTACAATTTAATTATGTTTTATATCACGTAGAATGGAAATAATGAAATAATATTCCCTTTTATTTTTATTATTTCCATTCTAAGTGACTTTACCGGAAAAACCAAGAAGATAGTTTAGCAACCTGTGGAAGAACGCGATCAGCCAGGCGAAGCGTTAGTTGTGTTAACTCGAGATGTGACGCTTTCGTGACTGCAAGGATTCATACTCTTAGGGTTTTTTCGGTAAAGTCACCGTGTAGGTAAAAAATGAATACAAATTCATAAAAGTAAAAATAGAAATAAAATATAAACAAATCACGACGTTTCGGAGGCAACACAAGTCTCCGTCATCAGGTGGCACCGTCACAGCCACATTTGCTGTATCAAGTGAGGCGTTTTTATTAATTTAATCTATAATGTAGACTGTAGCCTGGTTATTAAGCTGGGTGAGTGTACTGGCAGTCTATAATGTAGACTGTAGCGTGGTTATTAAGCTGGGTGAGTGCACTGGCAGTATATAATGTAGACTGTAGCCTGGTTATTAAGCTGGGTGAGTGCACTGGCAGTCTATAATGTAGACTGTAGCCTGGTTATTAAGCTGGGTGAGTGTACTGGCAGTATATAATGTAGACTGTAGCCTGGTTATTAAGCTGGGTGAGTGTACTGACAGTCTATAATGTAGACTGTAGCCTGGTTATTACGCTGGGTGAGTGCACTGGCAGTCTATAATGTAGACTGTAGCCTGGTTATTAAGATGGGTGAGTGCACTGGCAGTCTATAATGTAGACTGTAGCATGGTTATTAAGCTGGGTGAGCGTACTGGCAGTCTATAATGTAGACTGTAGCCTGGTTATTAAGCTGGGTGAGTGTACTGGCAGTCTATAATGTAGACTGTAGCCTGGTTATTAAGCTGGGTGAGTGTACTGGCAGTCTATAATGTAGATTGTAGCCTGGTTATTAAGCTGGGTAGTGTACTGGCAGTCTATAATGTAGACTATAATTTGCTGCATCAAGTGAGGCATGATTTATAATAATTTTATTATTTTATTTCAATTTTTACTTTTATTAATTTTAATTTCATTTTTTACCTACGTGGTGACTTTACCGAAAAAAACCTAAGAGTACGTGAGTTGGTGTGTTGACCGACTCTCTGTGTTGCATTACATTAAGTGTCTCTCTCTGTGCAGTCTCCAAACCTCCAAGTCTTTCATTGACACAAGGCCGTCATTATAACATGTTATAATAAGTATAATATTATGTTATAATATATAATAATTATAATGTTATAATAAGTATAATATGTTATAATAATTATATTAATATATATTAATTATAATGTTATAATAAGTATAATATGTCATAATTATAATGTTATAATAAGTATAATATGTCATAATTATAATGTTATAATATGTTATAATAAGTATAATAATCAAATATGCCCCCCCAATATGTTTCTGTAAAAATATTTGTAAATAATAATTGCGATGCTCTGTTAATAAAGACAACAATTTGCTAAACCTTGGCCACGAAATCTGGACTTGTCTTCATATAACAATGCATAGATTCCTGTTTGTAGGATTGCGTTGTACTTTATGAATCCCTAATCTCTGCCATTACATACTATGAAACAAGAAAGGTAAAAAAGAAAAAACAGAGCAATGTATTACAATACACTATTAGACATTATTGTATCAAATAAAACAAAGTCCATCCCATGTGCTAGTGAACTTTTAAAAATATTTTAGGGAGGAAATGGCAGGAAAATAGTTTTCAAATTTAGATATTTTTCTGGGGGGGGGGACCCCAGACCCGTGGAAGATTTGGTCCCCCCCAATGTTGACTCCATGGCTACGGCCTTGCATTGACGTGCTAGTTTCTCTACCCCCCCCCCCCCTCTCTATTTAAGGCCTCAACACAGAGGCGTTGTTTCTCTGTGTGCCTATGTGTGTCTCTCTCTGTGTCATCTCTCTCTGTGTGTCTATGTGTGTCTCTCTCTCTGTGTGTCTATGTGTGTGTGTCTCTCTCTGTGTGTCTCTGTGTCATCTCTCTCTGTGTGTCTATATGTGTCTCTTTCTGTGTCATCTCTCTCTGCTTATGTGTCTGTCTATGTGTCTCCATGTCTCTCTCTCAAATTGAGCAATCTTTGGAAGAACGTTATCAACCAGGTAGGGTGTTGACTGTTATGTTAGCTGACTCTAAGTTTAATAGGTTTGTTTCCTCTTTCATTTGTACCTGATGATGATTGCTTGTGTTGCAGTTGAAACGTCGTATGCTATTATATAATGTATTTATTTATTCTACGTGACTTTACCGAAAGAACCAAAGAGTATCTTGCTTAAGTTTTAATTTCCCTTCACCTGGCTCGCTACTTTGTAACTTGTTTTGTTTTAAATATTCACACAGTTTTTTTTCATTTTTTACCAGGCCACGCCCGCTTGAGCTGCTGTACCGCTCTTGTTTTCAAAAGCGACCTGCCCACAACAACAATAACAACAAGGTGAGGCTCGTCAACAGAGTGGCGGTGTTCACTCTAGACACGTGGCGGTGTTCACTCTAGACACGTGGCGGTGTTCACTCTAGACACGTGGCGGTGTTCACTCTCGACACGTGGCGGTGTTCACTCTAGACGCGTGGCGGTGTTCGCTTTGGACGCGTGGTGGTGTTCGCTCTAGACGCGTGGCAGTGTTCACTCTAGACGCGTGGCGGTGTTCACTCTAGACGCGTGGCGGTGTTTACTCTAGACGCGTGGCGGTGTTCACTCTGGACGCGTGGCGGCGTTCACTCTAGACACGTGGTGGTGTTCACTCTGGACGCGTGGCGGTGTTCACTCTGGACGCGTGGCGGTGTTCACTCTCTGCATGTGGAGTGGGGACAACCGGGGGACACGGAGGGAAATCGACGCGACCACGGGGGGAGAGAGAGAGAGGCACGCAAACTCCAAATATACAGCAGGCGTCAAGGCTGGGATCGAACCCACGACTTCCTGTATGCCAGGAGAGGTAGTTAACATCTCACCACGGAGAGAGAGAGACACGCAGCCTCGGCTGTGTTGATTGATCCTCAATGAATTACTTGGAGTGAGGAAGCATTAATACTGAGCAGGTGAAGGTGGCCAGGCGTGGGTCTAGACACACCACCACCTGTGAACCATGCCAGTGCGTGACAGTGGTGGAGCCAGTGGGGGTGGGGTGGCACGTGCCCCCCCAACGATCCGATATAAATCCCTAATTTTGATAGGATCATTGGGGTTTATTAGTAACTAGCTTCACTACCCGGCTTCGCCCGGGACTTGGATTCTTGTCTTGGATTAATTTAATATTCCCTCATAATTCAATGAAAAACCCTGAAAAAATTGATGCTTGCAAGAAGGAAGCCGAAACACTTCAATTTACCTAAATCGGATGTTTTCACTCAAGGAAATTCAACCTGAACCCACTGCTACGTCAGGTCGATTTTTGCCACTCGGGAAGGGAATGACGTGGCGTTCGCTTAGACATTCCAGACAGCATAAGCTGTGAAAATTTCATGACGCCAGAGCTCACAGCGTTGGAGAGTTTTTGCTGCTTCACACAAACAAACAGGTGTAAGTTCTGTTTTATATTTAAGATGGCAGTTGTACCCGTTCTTCACACGGATTTGTATTGAAACTCCGAGAAGCCATTGACTTCATCGGCCAGGAGCGAAGCGCCACCTAAAATCTCCCGGCACGCTGTGAACAGCTGTAGAAGTACGGCGCGCGAAGAGCCATGTGGTAGGGGGGTAAGCATTGCAGAGCGCTTAGCTCAGGTGTGATGCGGGTTGATGCCACATACGTCATGGTCATTTCCCCCCCCCCCCCCCCCCCCCAAAATACAAAAGTCTATTTTTCTTTCCTGAAGGCATCAACACGTTCAGCGAGCGCGATGACGATCACACGCGTCGAATGAAAAGCAAGGGACAAGTCCTTTCTTACTAACAACTCCTTTCTCACTAACAACTCCTTACTTACTAACAACTCTTGTAATTTTTCATTGCTGGAGGGGTTTCCCCCCCCTACCTGAAAATCCTGGCTCCACCTCTGAGTGTGTGACAGTGTCAAGTTTGTATTTGCAGTAAAGTCTATTAACTCTATTGAGCACAGAGGTTATATCAAAACAGTAATTTATTTTAGTTTTCCTCTGGAACTCTTTGTAAGAATGGAGTCAGGAAGTGATCACAGCACACACGTGCAGCAGCTGAAGTCGGAACTGCTCATCCCAGCAATCAAGGACATCTGTGCCTGGCATCACACCTCTAAGTTGTGATTGAACATTAATTTATGCATTTGTGCATTGTTGTATATGTTGGTTATCGAAATTTGTTATGTTGTATGCGTGCGTGGGTGAAATTATTATGTTGTATATGTGGGTTATGAATATTCAGTGAAAATAATAATAATTAAATGAAATTTGGCCAAATGTGTAATTATCCGGAAATATGTTAATTTATGTAATTATGCACATTTTAATTATGCCAATTCGAGAGGTAATCGTATTAATTATGCGAGTGGGTGTAATTATGATAATGCAAGTCGTTATGATAACCAGACCCCGCCTCGGTGACGAGGGTGGGTTATCGATCGGAATAAGGCAATTAATCGTATGCAGTTATGCAGGTGTGGTGTAAGTATGCAAGATTAACTTAGATTAACTCGGCATCGTTGTCTAGGTTCGTCTCATTCTCGCTTTAACATTCCCAGAGTGTGTATTCGTGGTTATATTTTAGGTCCCCGGTTCACCCCGTTATCGCTTTAACATTTACTGAGTATGTATTAGTGTGTTTATTAAGGTCACCAAGTTCAGATCTCAACGCAGAAGCAGATCTTATGCATAGATTTCAGGAAAGAATCACACAACCACTTCTGTATTGATCAATTTATTACTAATTCAACCTTAACTATGATATAGTATGCGAACTCTCAATCCCGGAACGTCAACACGGCATCAATACAGTATCATCAACGATTGTCTGATTTCACTTTGACAACGGCACATGGATCCCGCATAACGCGATGGTTGTTAGTGAGAGAGAGAGTCGTTAAAATATGCAAATACTATGCTAAGAAAACCTTAACGTTAATGAATGATTATACTCAATATTGTTCACGCAGTACCGCACTCCTTATTGATCATACGCAACCCTTATCACGTTGTTAGCACCTTGGGTCACGGGACAGTTGAATATTCTGTAGAGGATGCGAGTACGTGCGGCGATTATGACTGAAAGATACTTGAAAGATTATACGGCGATAAAAAAACACAATCAAAAACAGTTATTATTCTTAAAGGCACCAATCTCAACAGATACATCGGCAGGTTATCTGACAACAGAACGGCTCGGAGTAAGGGCCTGCGACGGTGCTCCTTTTCCGAAGATCGTTATCTTATACCAAGTTTACTAATTGGGGACCAGATCACCTGATAAGGATCCGGTGGGCCACCACTCCCCACGTGAGCGTGGCTCGGCGGAAGGAGGTGCCAAGAATCAGTTCGTATTGATGGATCTGTTGGGAATTTATGCGATTAAGAGTACAGCCCACTAAATATTAAAGATAAAAATTACGAATACTCTTATAAACGACGGATGGCCATCACTCGGTCTCGTTGTGATGCCTTCCCAGCCACGGATGGCTTATGGGTTCGAGTGTGTTTGAGTGGTAAGAGTTGTCTTGAATAGTCAGTGTTCGGAGTCGATTCTTTATGTCAAACAGACGCCTGGTGGTCGTGTGGTGAGGGGGCGGTGCGCGTCATACGTATCAGTCGCTCCCCTGTCACCGTGGTGAACTGGTTCGGATGCCCGTTGATACGCTGTCGCAGTTCGGAACCCGGTCGGTAGGTGGCGCCCACAACTCGCTCGCAGCGTGCAGTGTTGGGTCGTCGCCAAACCGCGACCCTCACCACTCCGGCGGCAGCAGAGACCTCCGACTCGGCAGAGGTTGACCCACGCAGGCCGAGTTGAGCTGTCAAGCGGGTCTTGCCCGCCTGCAGAGGAGATGGGGAGCCGCTTGAGTCGAGCCCCGAGAGCCGGCTTTGGTAAGCCGATCGAACTCGGCTGAGTCCCAGACGAGCTGAAGAAGAGTCGAGCCGACCCGCTGGTCGCAGCTCGCTCCTGAGCCGACCCTCCCGGTCGAGCTCGCTCCTGGGTCGACCCGCTGGTCGCCCTCGCTCCTGAGTCGACCTGCTGGTCGCACTCCTGAGTCGACCCGCTGGTCGCACTAGTTTCCAATGCTCAGGATCCTTTCCTTTATGCCGAAAAATCCCCCTGGATCCCGCCCACAAGGCGGGGCTTCTTTCGATTTTTGCTGTGTCAGGATCTGTCCGTAGGCAGGTGTGTCCATGTGTGTGTCCGTACGTCCGTATGTCCTTGTGTGCATCACCCACGGTATATTCCGTTGTCACACTCCCTCCATAAACCCACGAGCAAACAATCAGATGTTACAAATTGCCTCGAGGTCATCTCTCTGTCTGGGTGCAATATTATCTCTTGTCTGGCCTTCTTCATGAACCCAAAACACAGACGTTACAAATCGTCTCATAGGCGTCTTTGTTCGTGTTGCACAACCTGGAGGGAGGGGCAACACTCTCTCCGACCCGGCGCACAAAGAAATGGTTAAAAAGTTTTAAGTTAACATTTGTCCCTTACTATTCCACAGTTATGATTCTGTATGTAACCTAAGGTCTGTCGTTTCCCATCGTGGTGCTTGACTCAAGTGGAGGTGTTTCCCCGAGCGTATACACACTCCTATCCCGCGCTGCGGGGATACAAAGACGGCCGGGATCTCCCTTTCTCTCCGACCCTGGGTTTAACATCGTTTTTTATTATGTATTTATATTCGACCTGGTGGTGATTCATCCCGTTATCCTGGCTTTTCATAAGTTTTACTTTTGTCTTTTCATGCATATGCTTCGGGTCGAGTTGTATAGAAAGTATTAAAGTATGGAAATAACATTTCATATTGACTTAATGATGGTGATGGTTCAGTAGGCGTAACTTGTGGCCTGGTTTAATTGGAGTGGGTGTGAATATCAATAACTTTAGCCTACCCTGTTGTTAAATTCCGACTTTAACGTTACTTTAATAGCAATACAGAATAATTGAGCTTTTTGTCTTAACTAGGCGAACGCGAACTTCTGGTGACCCCCGCAGCCTTGTTGTTCAGCTGGGTCTGCCTCCTTGAGAGATATACAACACTCTTTTAAATCAGCTGTGGCCATCCAACCTTCTGCTCTGGGAGTGTTATTCTTAATTTCAGGACAAAGGCCCCCTCACGTTCAGACGTGCAGGGTTGTTTAAATCAGCTCCCTCCCCTGTGCACACAGCCTTGAGCTGACCCACTTCATGTTTATCTTTGTTCCCTCAGCTGCAGGAGGACAAGGCGTACTTCTACCTCCCCCCTGTGTGCACGTGTTCTAACTAGCTCGGAATCCCTAAACACACAATCAGTGATGATTCCTGGCTTTCTGTGGTTGTGATTTAGACAAAGGCGCCTCTGCTTTCTTCCATTGCCTTTGAGTCGACACTGCCCTATTATTTGCCCATGTGCTGAGGTCATAGAATTCGTTTTGACTTCAGTAATATTAACATTCAGTATTGGATTAGCAAATGGGCAATGGTTCATTGATGTAGCTCGCAGCCTGGTCTCCAATTTGAGCGAGCGCGAGGATCGATAATTTAGCCTACTCTGTTGTTGAATTTCGAATTTTGACGTTACTTTAAAACCATGCAGGATGGTTGGGCTTTTTGCCTTAACTATGTCTGGCTGACACTCCCACTGTCTCTGCCGCCTGCACGGGTGACATGTGCCCGTTCATCAGGCCTTATCTTTCCTTGAAGCAAGGTTGCAAATTCTGCCATCCTAGCCCTCCTCCAGTTCATTACTTAACAACACCTGGTGTTTTGCAGTTTGCTGCGCTTTGGTGTGTTTCATTCATTAAAAAAACAAGTAAAAAGATAATATATAAAAATATCATCAAATATGATTAATCTCAATTTTGGAAGAAGGGTTAGTATACAACAGCATAACACAAATAGTATTATTTTCAACACCCTTTGCTATGTCAGCTTAATTTAGCTTTCATAAACATTTATTTAGAAGCCAGACAGCTGAAATTGTGTGCTGAGTTTTGGGTTAACGTTCATTTTGAAGATACGAGGGCTTCCAGGCATGTTTATGACCATTTGGCCTCTCATTGTGTGCCATAACAGCCCGTGTTATGAATTTGGGACACTTTTTTTTTACTATATCATAAATATATGAATAATTATAGACGTGTAAGTCACGTGTGACTGTGTATATGCATTCCTCTGGGCCTCGATACTGACGTGTAGATGGTGTGGATATTCTTTGTTTCTGTCTGCAGCTGTCGCTGCCTCTGCAGAAGTGGTCTGATGGAGCAAAGGCACTCGGCGCGGCTTGGTGCAAAAAGGCAACAATGCGACCGGTGTGCATACAGCACGGATCGTCCTGAACATTTTACAAAACACCAGAGAACTCGCACAGGAGAGAAACCCTTCAACTGCACTTGGTGCGGGAAGACGTTTTCAGATTCATCTACTCTTCATGTACATCAGAAAACACACACGGGAGAGAAACCCTTCAACTGCACTGTGTGTGGGAAGGAATTTGCATGGTCATCTGTTTTAAAAAAACACCAGACAACACACACAGGAGAGAAACCCTTCAAGTGCAGTGTGTGTGGGAAGGCATTTTCACATTCATCTACTCTTGTGATACACCAGAGAACACACACAGGAGAGAAACCCTTCAAGTGCACTGTGTGTGAAAAGGCATTTTCAGATTCATCAACTCTTCATGTACACACGTGCACGCACGCACGCGCACTCACGCGAACGCACGCGAACGCACGCGAACGCACGCGCACGCACGTGCACGCACGTGCACGCACGTGCACCCACGTGCACGCACGTGCACGCACGCGCACGCACGCGCACTCACGTACACGCGCGTGCACACACGTGCAGACACGTGCACGCACGCGCTCTCACGCGCACGCACGTGCACACACGTGCCCAGACGTGCACGCACGCGCACCCACGCGCACGCGCACGCACGCGCACGCACGTACACGCGCGTGCACGCACGCGCACCCACGCGCACGCGCACGCACGCGCACGCACGTACACGCGCGCGCATGCACGCGCACGCACGTGCACAGACGTGCACGCGCGTGCACGCGTGTGCACGCACGCGCACGCACGTGCACGCACGCGCACGCACGCACACACGTGCACGCGCACGCACACACGTGCACGCACGCGCACGCATGCGTACGCACGCGCACGCGCACGCACGCGCACACACGTACACGCGCGTGCACACACGTGCAGACACGTGCACACACGCGCACGCACGCGCGCGCACGCTCGCGCACGCGCTTTCACGCGCACGCACGTGCCCAGACGTGCACGCACGTGCACGCACGCGCACCCGCGCGCGCACGCGCGTACACGCGCGTGCACGCACGTGAACGCACGTGGACACACGTGCAGACACGTGCACGCACGCGCGTGCACGCACGTGCACGCACGTGTGTGCGCGCGCACGCACGAGCACCCACGCGCACCCACGAGCACCCACGCGCACGCACGCGCACGCACGTGCACGCATGCGCACGCACGTGCACGCACGCGCACTCACGCGCACGCACGCGTGTGCACACACGTGCACGCACGTGCACCCATGTGCAAGCGCACGCACGCGCACGCACGCGCACGCACGCGCACGCACGTGCACAGACGTGCACGCACGTGCACGCACGTGCACGCACGTGCACACACGTGAACACACGTGCACGCACGTGCACGCACGCGCACAGACGTGCACGCACGTGCACCCACGTGCACGCACGTGCACGCACGTGCACACACGTGAACACACGTGCACGCACGCGCACACACGCGCACGCGCACGCACGCGCACCCAAGTGCACGCACGTGCACGCACGTGCACACTCGTGCACGAACGTGCGCGCGCGTGCGCGTGCGTGCGCGTGTGTGCACGCGTGTGTGCACGTGGGTGCACGTGTGTGCACGTGGGTGCACGTGCGTGCACGTGCGTGCGCGTGCGTGCGCGTGCGTGCGCGTGTGTGCACACGCGTGCACGTTAGTGCACGTGGGTGCACGTGCGTGCACGTGCGTGCACGTGTGTCCACGTGTGTGCACGTGTGTGCACACGCGTGCACGTGGGTGCACGTGCGTGCACGTGCATGCGTGCGCGTGCGTGCGCGTGTGTGCACGTGCGTGCACATGTGTGCGTGCGCGTGCACGTGTGTGCGTGCGCGTGCGCGTGCGTGCGCCTGCGTGCGCGTGCGTGCGCGTGTGTGCGCGTGCGTGCGCGTGCGTGCACGTGCGTGCGCGTGCGTGCGCGCGCGTGCGCGTGCGTGCACGTGTGTGCACGCACGTGCACGCACGCGCACGCACGTGCATGCACACACGTGCACGCGCGTGCACACACGTGCACGCACGTGCACGCACGTGGACGCACGTGCACACGCGTGCACCCACGCGCACGCGTGTGCACGCACGCGCACGCACGTGCATGCACACACGTGCACGCGCGTGCACACACGTGCACGCACGTGCACGCACGTGGACGCACGTGCACACACGTGCACACACGTGCACTCACGTGCACGCACGCGCACGCACGCGCACGCACACACGTGCACGCGCACGCACACATGTGCACGCACGTGCACACACGCGCACACACGTGCACGCGCGTGCACACACGTGCACGCGCGTGCACGCACGTGGACGCACGTGCACACACGTGCACACACGTGCACTCACGTTCACCCACGTGCACGCACGTGCACGCACGCGCACGCACGCGCACGCACGCGCACGCACGTGCACGCACGCGCACCCACGTGCACGCACGCGCACCCACGTGCACGCACGTGCAGGCACGTGCACACACGTGCACGCACGTGCACCCACGTGCACGCACGTGCACGCACGCGCACACACGCGCACACACGCGCACGCACGCGCACACACGCGCACGCACGCGCACGCGCGCGCACGCGCACGCACGCGCACGCACGTGCACAGACGTGCACGCACGTGCACGCACGCACGTGCACGCACGTGCACCCACGTGCACACACGTGCACACACGTGCACGCGTTTGCACGCACGCGCACGCACGCGCACGCACACATGTGCACGCACGTGCACACACGCGCACGCACGCGCACGCACGTGCACGCGCGCGCACGCACGCGCACGCACGCGCACGACGTGCACGCACGTGCACGCACGCACGTGCACGCACGTGCACCCACGTGCACGCACGTGCAGGCACGTGCACGCACGCACGCGCACGCACGTGCACAGACGTGCACACACGTGCACGCACGCGCACGCACACGCACGCGCACGCACGTGCACAGACGTGCACACACGTGCACGCATGTGCACGCACGCGCACGCACGCACACACGTGCACGCGCGTGCACACACGTGCACTCACGTGCACCCACGTGCACGCACGTGCACGCACGTGCACCCACGTGCAGGCACGTGCACGCACGTGCACAGACGTGCACACACGTGCACACACGTGCACTCACGTGCACCCACGTGCACGCACGTGCACCCACGTGCACACGCGTGCACACACGTGCACGCGTTTGCACGCACGCGCACGCACGCGCACACACACGTGCACGCGCACGCACACATGTGCACGCACGTGCACACACGCGCACGCACGTGCACGCGCGCGCAAACGCACGCACGCGCACGCACGTGCACAGACGTGCACGCACATGCACGCACGTGCACGTGCACGCACGTGCACCCACGTGCACACGCGTGCACACACGTGCACGCGTTTGCACGCGCACGCACGCGCACGCACGCGCACGCACACACGTGCACGCGCACGCACACATGTGCACGCACGTGCACACACGTGCACACACGTGCACGCACGTGCACACACGTGCACCCACGCGCACACGCGTGCACACACGTGCACGCGTTTGCACGCACGCGCACGCACGTGCACCCACGTGCAGGCACGTGCACACACGTGCACGCACGTGCACCCACGTGCACGCACGTGCACGCACGTGCACACACGCGCACACACGTGCACCCACGTGCACACACGTGCACCCACGTGCACACACGCGCACGCACGCGCACGCACGCGCACGCACGCGCACGCACGCACGTGCACGCGCACGCACACACGTGCACACACGTGCACACGCGTGCACACACGTGCACACGCGTGCACGCACGTGCACGCACGTGCACGCACGCGCACGCAAACGCACGCGCACGCACACACGTGCACGCGCACGCACGCACGTGCACACACGTGCACACACGTGCACGCGTGTGCAAACACGTGCACACACGTGCACGCGCACGCACACACGTGCACACGCGTGCACACGCGTGCACACGCGTGCACGCGCGTGCACGCACGCGCACGCAAACGCACGCGCACGCGCACAGACGTGCACACACGTGCACGCGTGTGCAATCACGTGCACACACGTGCACGCACGCACACGCACGCGCACGCACGCGCACGCACGTGCACGCGCACGCACACACGTGCACGCGTGTGCAATCACGTGCACGCACGTGCGCACGCACGTGCACGCACGTGCACGCACGTGCACACACGTGCACACACGTGCACGCACGTGCACACACGTGCACGCACACGCACGCGCACGCACGCGCACGCACGTGCACGCGCACGCACACACGTGCGCACGCGTGCACGCACGCGCACGCACGCGCACACACGTGCACGCGCACGCACGCACGCGCACGCACGTGCACAGACGTGCACACACGTGCACGCGTGTGCACACACGTGCACGCGTGTGCAAACACGTGCACGCACGTGCACACGTGCACGCACGTGCACGCACGTGCACGCACGCGCACGCACGTGCACGCACGTGCACACGTGCACGCACGTGCACGCACGCGCACGCACGTGCACGCACGCGTGCACGCGCGTGCACACGCGTGTGCACGCGTGTGCACGCACGCGCACGCACGCGCACGCACGCGCACGCACGCGCACGCACACACGTGCACGCACACACGTGCACACACGTGCACACGCGCACACACGTGCACACGCGTGCACGCACGTGCACGCGCGTGCACGCACGCGCACGCACGCAAGCGCATGCACACACGTGCACGCGCACGCACACACGTGCACACACGTGCACACACGTGCACGCGTGTGCACACACGTGCACGCACGCACGTGCACGCACGTGCACGCACGTGCACCCGCGTGCACACGCGTGCACACACGTGCACGCGTTTGCACGCACGTGCACCCGCGTGCACACGCGTGCACACACGTGCACGCGTTTGCACGCACGCGCACGCACGCGCACGCACACACGTGCACGCGCACGCACACATGTGCACGCACGTGCACACACGCGCACGCGCACACACGTGCACGCGCGCGCACACGCACGCACGCGCACGCACGTGCACAGACGTGCACGCACGTGCACGCACGCACGTGCACGCACGTGCACGCACGTGCACCCACGTGCACGCACGTGCACGCACGTGCACCCACGTGCACGCACGTGCAGGCACGTGCACGCACGCGCACGCGCACGCACGCGCACGCACGTGCACAGACGTGCACACACGTGCACGCGTGTGCACGCACGCGCACGCGCACGCACATGGACGCACGTGCACACACGTGCACACACGTGCACTCACGTGCACCCACGTGCACGCACGTGCACGCACGTGCACCCACGTGCAGGCACGTGCACGCACGTGCACAGACGTGCACACACGTGCACGCGTGTGCACACACG